TAAATTGTGCTGTTTCCTGTTAATATTAAAGAGTTGACTTTTAGGAAGTCTCAGTCGGGGACCTCTGTCTCTCTACTGAAGAGAAAGTTATTCTCCTTTCTCTTTCTTTTGCTTATTAAACCTCTGCCCCTAAACACCACTCCTCCACCAAAACAAACAAACAAAAAAATCGTTGACTCTTAATTCCTCTCCCACTCCATCTCTTTTCCTTCTTCCCTACAGGCACTCTGCTCACGAGCCTTCCTTCCACTCCTGGCCCATAGAACACGTGCTCCTGCAGCAGGCCTCTGCACTTGCAGTCCATCTGCCGGGGCCTCTTTCCCCAAGCTGGCTGCATCCTGTCATTTGGGACTCTCCTCAAAGGACATGTCCTCCAAGGGGCTTTCCCTGGTCATTCTATCTAGGGTGACTTCTGGACATACTTGCTCCCTAGGACTCTCTATTTAGTTATCCTGCTCTGTTTTTTCACAGCCTGTATCCCTACTTGCAATATCTAGTTTATGTGTTATTTTCCTTTTAAAAAATTGTCTGTCTCATTGAGTGCAGTGGCTCATGCCTGTAATCCCAGCACTTTGGGAGGCTGAGGTGGGCGGATCACCTGAGGTCAGGAGTTCAAGACCAGCCTGGCCAACATGGCAAAACCCTGTCTGTACTAAAAAATGCAAAAATTAGCCAGGGGTGGTGGTGCGCACCTGTAATCCCAGCTACTCGGGAGGCTGAGGCAGGAGAATCACTTGAACCCAGGAGGTGGCGGTTGGTGACAGAGCAAGACCCTGTCTCAAAAAAAAAAAAAAAAGAAAAGAAAAAAAAATTGTCTCTTATTCCTAAACTGTAAGTTCCATGTGAGCAGGAACCTTTTCTGTCTTGATCACATCTGTATCTCTAGTGTCTGTTAGGCCCTCAAGTGCCTGTTGAATAAATGAAGATGAATGAGTGAATGAATGCAGATGAAAATTGCAAAAATATCGACAGGGACATAGCTAGAACTTGAAGTGAAGATGAATTGTATGCTTCACAGATTTTCAGGGTAGAAGAGTATGCTCATTTGTTTAAAAAATTGCTTTCAAGGATTCTACAATATTAAGATGAGGAGCCAGCTAGCTTGGGAAAGAATTTTAAGGGGTACAAAAAATACAAATAAACTGTAAGTCAGTGACACTTCTAGGCTAATTATAGGTTGAGAAATTGTTTCACCATTAAATGCAGAATGAATGCATATACAAATCTAGATATAATCATTTTCAAAGAAACAAATAAAATTATGTTTTTCACTCTTACTGATATAAAACTTTCAGACTATCACAAAAATCCATTTGAGTTCACTGGTTCTTAGCAATCAGTGTGCTAAATGGTAAAACCTATAATTTAGTCTGCATTAAAATAGAAGAACAAGGGTTAGCTACTATCATTATCATTATCAATATCAACATCATTATCATAATTATCATTTGCCAAGAATACATCCAGACCTGAGGAGAAGCAGGTAGAAATAGGGTACACTGAATCCTGAGGAATCAGTGCAGAGCCTCTGAAGGGGAATGGTTGGATAGATTTCCATTTCCTTTGCATGCAGGAGAAAGCAACAGAAACATAAACCAGTTCCGTTGCAACATAATTTATTTTCATGGTTCCACACATTCATTTTTGGACTAAACTAAGCAGCCTTTCCTTTGCCCAAGCATTGTTCAGTTGCTTAAGAGGACACAGAGCAGTAAGGGCTCTGGAGCCTGCCTGGCCTTATGGCCATCAGCTCTCTCTTTTCTTTTTTTGTTTGAGATGGAGTCTCACTCTGTTGTGCAGGCTGGCTCACTGCAACCTCTGCCTCCTGGGTTCAAGCGACTCTCCTGCCTCACTCCTGTCTCAGCCGCCAGAGTATCTGGGATTCCAGGCAACTGCTATCACGCCTGGCTAATTTTTGTATTTTTGTAGAGACAGGGTTTCACCATGTTGGCCAGGCTGGTCTCGAACTGCTGACCTCAGGTGATCCACCTGCCTCAGCCTCCCAAAGTGCTGGGATTACAGGCGTGAGCCACGGAGCACAGCAAGCTCTTCTTAATAAGCCCTTTTCCCTTTCAGCTCATGGTGACTGGGTTTGGTACAATCAGGTGACTGGGAGGTCTGAGAACACACAGGGATTTAATTGTTGGTTATGTTTGAAGCAGGCCCATATGAAGGGGCCGCTATTAAAGGGTCTAGACTGAGCAAAAGGCAACACCTTAGTCCTAAGAGTAAATGACCCAGGTTCCAGTTGCTGCCATGCTTACTTTGGGGAACAATTTTTGGTCAGATTTATGGAAGCAATGATTTGTTTTTAGGCTTTTTGTTATGAGGTGACATCACAGCTAAATTTATCAAAACAATAGAATACATTGATCTAAATTTGGGGAATTGGATCCAATGTATGTATGTATGTATGTATGTATGTATGTATGTATGTATGTATTAAGACAGTGTCTCATTTTGTCACCCATGCTGGAGTGCAGTGGCACAATCTCTGCTCACTGCAACCTCTGCCTCCTGGATTCAAGTGGTTCTCCTGTCTCAGCCTCCCGAGTAGCTGGGATTACAGGCACATGCCATCACCTGGCTAATTTTTGTAATTTTAGTAGAGATGGGGTTTTACCATGTTTCCCAGGCTGGTCTCGAACTTATGACCTCAAATGATCCGCCCACCTCGGGCTCCCAAAGTGCTGGGATTACAGGTGTGAGCCACCGCACCCAGGCAAGAATTGGATCTAATTTAGCACAGTGGTCCAAAGCGTAGACTTAACCCTGAATCCTCACTCCTAGACCTTGGGCAAGTTATTTAACCTCTCTGCTCCTTAGTTTCCCCTCCTGTAAGATGGGGATAATAATCGTATCCACTTCTTGGGGTTGTGAACATTAAATAAGTTGGTATGTATAGACTGAATATTATTCTGGGCACACAGAAGTATGATAGAAGGGTTAGCTGTTTTTGGCTAGGTAAGGTGACTCACGCCTATAATCCCAGCACTTTGGGAGGCGGAGGTGGGTGGATCACCCGAGGTCAGGAGTTCGAGACTGGCCCGGCCAACATGGTTAAACTCCATCTTTACCAAAAATACAAAAATTAGCCGGGCACGGTGGTGGGACCTGTAATCCTAGCTACTCAGGAGGCTGAGGCAGGAGAGTCACTTGAACCCTGGAGGTAGAGGTTGCAGTGAGCTGAGATGCTGCCACTGCACTCCAGCCTGGGTGACAAGAGCAAAACTCCATCTCAGAAAAAAAAAAAATAATAATAATAAGAGTTAACTGTTTTTATTATCTTTATAGTTTAGGGAGATGGGGGTCAGGGGAACAAATATGGGCTTCATTTCATTTAATTAAAAATTTTCTGGGTGTCTGCTATGTATCAGGTATTGAATTCAGCGTGAGGAAGAGACAATCCTGTCCTCAAAGAGCTCAAGTAAGGGACAAGACCGGTAAACACAAACCTTATAATACACTGTAACAATGGAAATTAACACCAGGTTTAGGAGTTGCATGGAAGAGGTAGTGACAAACTCTCTCTTGGGGAGTCTCTGAGGAAGGTGACCTCTCAGCTAGGCTTTGAAGGTGTATGGAGTTTGCTAGATGAGCAAGTGGCAGAGAGCTTCTAGGCCAAGGATTAGTACTGCAAGGGCACAGACTCATAAAACACCGAATTTGGTTTTGCTCAACTACAAAGTGTGTGAGGGGACAGTGAGGGGGAGATGACGAGGTGGAGATGTAAATTACAGAATATCACGTAAATGCATTTAATTTCACTTATATCAATATTGCAGCATCAAATAGATGGAGCTGAAGATCGGCCAAGAAGAGATCATTGTGGCCAGATCATGAAAAGCCTGGTGCTTACTTAGCTCAGTTATGTGTAGGCTGAACCAAGGCAGTGGTGGTGGGAATGGAGAGGGAATGAGAGGTAATTAGGGGGTCAGGACCTGGTGATTGAGTGGGTGGTAGAGGTGAGGGAGAGGGAGGAACCCAAGCTCACTGTCAGGTTTACCAGGCTTGAAACACGGGAGGCTTGTGGTTCTACCAATGGCTTTGTGACTATAGGAAGAGGAGCAGGTTTGGGGGGTAACAAGGTAAGTTCTATGTTGGACATGTTGAGTTTACAATGCCTGGGGAGTATCCAGGGGGAGATGTGGGCAGTTGGAACCACAACAGAGGTTCTATGATATGAGTTTATAGAGCTTGTCTGGAGGCAAATGGTTGGGATAGAACCTGGAGCCCTAAGGAAAATATTGATAATACCCAGTATTTCACATGTGCTTGTTCTCTGCCAGGTTGTGCTATGCACTTTACAGGCCATGCTAAATCAATGACTGATTTGCTAATCATTGTACCTCTAGCAACTGGCACATAATGGGCATACAATAATTATTTTGTTTAATAAACACTCTCATTTAGTCCATACAACAATCCCATGAGGCAGATATGATGAGTGTCGTCATTTTACAGATAAGGAAAACAATTTAGGAAAGGTTAAATAAGCTGACCAAGGTCACACAACTGGTAAGCAGCAGATCCGAGATTTGAATCCAGCTCTTTGTGACTCTAAAGCCCAAAGTGCTTAACTGCATTGCTAGAAAGTGAACATCTGCCCTTCAAGATGTGCTTATGTGACCTGGGGTGAGACTTCAGCCCCTCTGAGACAGTTTCCTATGCCAGATCAGGGGTGGGATTTGAAAATCTCTAAGCTGCCTTTCCATCTTCAAAACTCTGGTGACATCAGGAGACTGCTACGAAAATGCCCTAAAGTGCATACACCACATCATTCTTAGATGCTCGATGTTCTGGTAGCAACACTGTGGCAGGCTCTGCAGTTGACACTCCTTGCAATCCTCTCATGGAACCTTTTTAAGATAGGAGGCCTGAGCAGTGTGTACAGAGCCACAGAAGTGTACCAAGCATGGGGAGGTGGGAGCAGTCTGTTTTAGGGATAAGCTATGAGAATGTATTTGTGTTCTATTTCTGTACAACAGTTTACCACAAACTTAGCAGCTTAAAACAACACACATTTATTATCTCACAGTTTCTGCAAATCAGAAGTCCAGGTATAGCCAGATGCTTATCTAGCAAACTCCATCCATCTTCTGAATAGAACAGTATTGTGTTCAAGGTCTCGCAAGGCTGCAATCAAGGTGTCAGCTGAGCTGTGTTTTCAGCTGGATGCTTAAGTGGGGAAGAGTCCACCTCCAAGCTCACTCAGGTTGTTCACAGACTTTATTTCCTTGTGGCTGTGTTACTAAGAGCTCCGGTGTTTTGCTGGCTGTTGGCTGAAGGTTATCCTTCGGTTCTAGAGGCTGCCTTGTAAACTTCTTCAACATAGCTGCTCACATAATCAAGCCTGCAAGGAGAACCTCTCCAGCATGTCAGCAAGATGGGGCCATACACAGACAAAGACATCCCGTCACCTTTGCATTAAGAGGCAAGTCTCAGGTTCCACCTGCACTCAGATGGAGGGAATTACACAAAGGTATGGACATCAGGAAGCAGGAATTACTATGGGTCACCCTAGGATTTGTTATCCACAAGAGATCACATTATCTGCTTAGAATTTCAAACAAATAATAAAACCAAAAAAAGTTGGTCTGCCTTTTACCATTTTTCCTTATTTAAAACTTTATTCTTGATAAAGAAAAAATGAGAAAACCCCAAAACTTTCTTCTTTAATTGGCAACCTTCAAAAAAGATATTCACAACAGGACTCAGAGCAAGGGCAGAGATCCCCAAACAGATGGTTTTTCCTTAATTCCTCAGGCTGGAGCAGAGTTTAAACCGAGCTGGAATCACTCCGACTCTGGCCACAACCTAATCTCTACATCCTGGCCTCCATCATTGGCTGGAAGCTGATTTGCTTCGTCCAAGGGCCTAGTTTGAGGGCATTCATGGCTTCTGCAAGTTTGAGCATCACTTGCTCCTGGTGCTGGCAGTGCCACTCAGCCATGGACTGGAGCACCACTTGGTTTGGAGCTTGTACCAATAGGAGCTGTAAGCCACGACCTCGGTGAGGTCTGAAGACTCTAGAGCCTTCAGTTGGAGCATGGCCTTGCTCATCGGTTCGATGTAAGGGATTATGTATCCGGGTCTGTTGGGGGAAGGGGATGAGAGCTCCCAGGTAGGGCATCCAGGCCAGCACTGGTCACACTCAGGTCTTTGAGCAGTCTGCCTTTTAAATAAACACTATGAGCTGGCAATTCTAATGTTGTCAGTGACAAAGTACTTCTTCCTGAAAATATCTTTTGTTGTTTTAAGTTCTAAACATTTGCTGGGATTACTATTGAGTTTGAATAATGTAATACGTACCCTTCATTTTTAAAAATTACTTAAAAAACAGAGATAACACAGTGACTGTGAGGACTGAATTTGGGTTGCTTCTGTTCCATGTAACCATTTGGAGTTTTTGTGTTTCAAATTTAAAACTGTGAAGCAGTGTGATACAGTGCTTTGCCATGTTTTTATTTGACAAATGCACATTTTAGTTAATACATCAAATATTTTTACTAGATTTGAAAATTATCTTTAAAATAGATAATTCCTTTTGCTTATTTTATTTATTTTTGAAAGAGGGTCTCCCAGTGTCACTCAGGCTGGAGTGCAGTGACTGCAATCAAGGCTCACTGCAGCCTCGACTGCCCTGGCCCAAGATCTTCCCACCTCAGCCTCCCAAGTAGCTGGGATCACAGGTGTGTGCTATTATGCCCAGCTAATTTTTTTATTTTTATTTTTGTAGAGTCGGGGTCTCCCTATGTTGCCCAGGCTGGTCTAGAACTCCTAGGCTCAACTGATCCTCCTGCCTTGGCCTCCCAAAGTGCTGGGATTACAGGCGTGGACCACAGTGCCTGGCCCCTTTTGTTTATTTTAAATCTAAGGAAGACTCGAGAAAAAAACATTACATCAGTAGTATGATTTAGGAGTTGCACTACTAATACTAGGTAAGTTTCTCTTGTGCTGCCTGGAAATAAAAATAAACACTCAACACTAACTTGGGGCTCACAACATGCTTGACACTGTTCCAAACACACACACACACACACACTCATTTTAAAAGTCCTCATCTACTCTTAAAGGTAGGTCCTGTTAGTCTGGGACCCAGAGATCTGCTCAAGATCATCCAACTGGAGTGGCAGCGCTGAAATTTGAGTCCAGGCAGTGTGGCTTCAATGCCTGAACTCTTAGCCATTATAAAGGAAAAACAAAGCAAAATCAGTATCCCCAACAACCTTGCAGGCAGGGAGGCCCTCAGAAGGGACAGGAGAGGCCGGGCGCGGTAATCCCGGCACTTTGAGAGGCCGAGGTGGGCGGATCACCTGAGGTAAGGAGTTCGAGACCAACCTGGCCAACGTGGTGAAATTCTGTCTCTACTAAAAATGTAAAAAATTGGCCGGGTACGGTGACGCGCACCTGTAGTTCCAGCTACTTGGGAGCCTGAGGCGGGAGAATCGCTTGAACCCGGGAGGCGGAGGTTGCAGTGAGCCGAGATCGCGCCAGGGCACTCCAGCCTGGGCGATCGAGCGAGAGTCCATCTCAAAAAAAAAAAAAAAAAAAAAAAAGGAAAAGAAAAAGTAGGGACAGGAGGGTTTCCTTCCGTTCCTGACCAGCCCTTGCTGGCCCCTGGGCAGAGGCAGCGCCGGCTTCCAGGAACCTCAGGGAGGGACGTTTGGGAGTGCTCTCTCAGCGTCCCCTTCACCGCCCTCTCTACACCCTTGCCGCGCTCCTGTCCTCGTCCGCCAGGCCAAAGTTTCTCCTGGCCCTTCCCAGCTTCCGGCCCTTAGCTCCAGGCCAGGTCGCAGGGCCAGGCGGTGCCAGGAGCTCGCGAATCCTCTGTTTACTGTTTGGTTTCCACGGTGACACGTAGGCGCCGTCAGCGACTCCCGTCACCGCCCCGCAGCGCGGTCCCCACCCGGCGCCGTGACGTCGGCCCTCCGCTTCCGCTCTGCCCATATTTGGCTCAGCCACTGCGCAGCCGGCCCGGGATAGGCTGAGGGCGGGACTCCCGCCGCGCCCCGCCCCCGGTTCCTGCCCCGCCCCCTGGAATGCTGGGCAGAGGCTCCGAGCCACGAGACCCCCGCCCCCTGCCCCGGGACCCACCTGGGCGGAGGCGAGGGCAGGGGCGCTGGGGGCCCAGAGAGAGGACGCCGCGATTGATGGATGAGCTGTTTCCAGCATTCCTGTGCGTCTGCTGGTTGAGGCTGCAGTCAAGATTTGGGGCTGTCTCGTTTGTTGTGGGTGGGTGATCTGGGATCACGATTTTCTCACTCTGTGCCCGGAAATCATGCCATCCCTCGCCCAACGCTGTATTTTATAGGCTTCAACTCAAAATTTTCCTTCATGGCGCAATGGAAAGCTTTGAAGACCGCGGTTCTGGGGTCAGCGTTGCCTCTCGGGGGATAAGTGACCTTGGGAAGGCCACTTGCCTTTTCCTGGCCTGATAAAATGAACCGTGGGAGTGGTCCATAATGGTTGCAGCCTTGTCATCAGACTTGTGAGGGACTTCCATCACCCACTAACCACCCCCTCCCCAGGACATAACTGGAATATCAGTGAATTTCTTTGAGCATGGACCCCTACAGTTCTGCCCCCTGTGGTGACTGGATTTGTGTGTCTCTGCACCTTGCTCCTATTAGGCGCTTAATGAACTTTAGTTAACTGATTATTGAATGAATAATACGAATCACGTTCATAAATCCGGACCCCTGCAATTCCTCTTCCAGGCCGGGGGGCGGGGGCGGGGAGGGTAGGGGATGGGGGAGAATATTGCGATGATTAATAATCGCGCGGCAGGGTTGCTGATGTAAAGCGATTTGCAGATCTAAAGGGCAATAAGCATTCCTGGGAGAAATCCAGCGAGATTCCAGAAGTCTCTGAGGGAGCCGTGGGTGTGTACCGCCGGGCCCGGAGGGCGGGGGTGGGGCAGGCAGTGCCGCAGTGGCCACTGCTGGGGAGCCGATTGCAATTGCGAGGAGAAGCGTGGGGTTAATCCTTCAAGACGCCTGTCGCCATCCTCCCACCCCCATTCCTGCCCCCTAGATTCCCCAGTTCCTCTGGCTGAAGGAGTGTGTGTTTTCTAGAGTTTCAGAGCTGGAAGGCACATCGGAGACTTAATCTAATTTAACCTATTTCGCCAACAGGGAAATTAAAGCTCAGAGAAGTTGGTTCAACCATCCAAACTTGCACAGCTAGTTAGAAACTGATAAAAGTCAGGATATCTAGCTTCAAATAGTGTTCCACATCGCCTAGGTGCTTCTAACTTCCTGTGCTTCAGAACCCTGTTGCCTGGCTCAGCTGGTGGGTTGTACATTTAGGCTAAATATTGACTTCAGGGCTCTTAAAGAATGCCATTGTCATGTCTGCTGCCACACGCAGCCCTCACCATGACACCAGGGCCTAGGGGGATGGCCAATAATTGTGTACTTCCTAAAGCCTCAAGCACTCCTCCTTAGAGGGCTGGAATGGTCACCCCTGTCCAGGGAACAGGAGTTGGCTGTTCTGAAACTAGTCTTCGTCTAGCAGTTGGTCACTTTTCACAGTTACCCAAGCCTTGCATTAAACTTTTCTCAGCCAAGACTACAGCAGGAGGCATGAGTAGCCCTAACCCTTTTCTGCTGTTTGGAAGTCTTCTCAAGGCACACGGAGGTTCCTTGCTGGGGGTGGGGAAGAGTGCCTCTTTAATGCTGCTCTCTTTGTCTTTCCCCTTTCAGTCTCACCCAACTTCCTCTTAACTGGGGGTGTTTCTTCCCTAACTTCTAGGCTGAAAATGAAGGCAACTCGGACTAAGAAGACGACTGCTTTCCAACTGCCCTCTGGCCCTGCAGCCCGCGGATTTGAGGAAGGGGCTGGGATCCTTCCCCTTGCTCCCTGGTTGTTCTCGGAGTTACAGCAGCCCCGCGGCAGCTCTGCCTCCTAGTGCACATGTGAGGCAGCGCGCCCTTCTCATCCAGAAGCCTCCTCGCGGTGCTGCCAGCAAGGGAGTTTTTCTGTATTCACTCCGGTGGAACAAGCGAAACTTGACAACCCCAAGCCAAACCAAAACACACGAGCCATTGTAGCCTTTTCTGTCTTTGGTTTCTTTCTGAGGATCTGGTCGATTTGGATGCAGAAAACATGCCTGTTGCTGCTGCGAAGTCTGCTCTTTCTCTTCCTGCTATCCGAACCCTGCCCCTCCTTTCAAATTCAGGTCAGGTGCGGTGGCTCACCCCTGTAACCCCAGCACTTTGGGAAGCTGAGGCAGACGGATCACTTGAGGTCAGGCGTTTGAGACCAGCCTGGCCAACATGTTGAAACCCTGTCTCTGCTCAAAATACAGAATTTAGCTGGGCAAGGTGGCAGATGCCTGTAATCCCAGCTACTTGGGAAGCTGAGGCAGGATAATTACTTGAACCCGGGAGATGGAGGTTGCAGTGAGCTGATATCAGGCCACTGCTCTTCAGCTTGGGTGACAAAGTGAGACTGTCTCAAAAAAAAAAAAAGCCTATTTCAAATTCCACCCCTTACCTAAACACTTTTCCTGACTTTCCTTTCCTATGCGTCTTTTTTGTTTTTTATTTTTGAGCTGGAATCTCACTGTGTCACCCAGGCTGGAGTGCAGTGTCGCAATCTCCGCTCACTGCAACCTCCGCCTCCCGGGTTCAAGCAATTCTGCCTCAGCCTCCCGAGTAGCTGGGATTACAGCCACCCGCCACCATGCCCAGCTGATTTTTTGTATTTTTAGTAGAGATGGGGTTTCATCATGTTTGTCAGGCTGGTCTCGAACTCCTGATCTCAAGTGATCCACCCGCCTTGGCCTCCCAAAGTGCTGGGGTTACAGGCATGAGCCACTGCGTCCAGCCATCCTATACGTCTTTTGAAATATGGCTGTACACAGGTTCCGCACCCAGTGTGCACTTATATAGTGTGTTTCTTTATTGGGGTCCAAGTCTGTACGTCTTTTTTGTTCACAGACCCCAGGGTGCCCAGCACAGGGCTGGGGACACAAACTGCTCTCAATAAGCCCTTGTTTATTGAATTGATTGATTAGTTTCCACAGAAACAACCCTGAGCTTTTGCTTCGATAAACCTTCCTAAAGAACTCTTAGTTCTTTAGGGACTCTGGATAGTGATCTAATCAAATATGGCCTTGCACAATAAGTCGTTTCACAAAGCAATTTCACAAGAGAACAGTAACATCACCCAGAGTGGGATGAGGAAGTCTGAAATTTGAAGAGGACTCTCAGAAAGATGAGGAGAGTGGCGGTGGTGTAGACAGGTCAAAGGACAAAGACTTAGGAGAGATGGGCCTCTGCTTCCGGGATAGAAGATGCAGCTCTAAGGTTAACTTCATATCCAGACTCTACCACTTGCTGTGTGTCCCTGGACAAGTTTACTCTTCTCTCTGTGCCTCAGTTTTCTCATCTGTAAAAAAAGGCTGGGCGTGGTGGCTCCTGCCTGTAATCCCAGCACTTTGGGGGGCCAAGGTGGGAAGATCACCAGAGGTCAGGAGCTCGAGACCAGCCTGGACAACATGGTGAAACCCCATCTCTACTATAAATACCAAAATCAGCCGCGTGTGGTGGCACGCGCCTGTAGTCCCAGCTACTCTGGAGGCTGAGGCAAGAGAATTGCTTGAACTCAGGAGGCAGAGGTCGAAGTGAGCCAAGATCGCATCACTGTAGTCCAGCCTGGGTGACTGAGCAGACTCTGTCTCTAAAAAAAAAAAGTATCCATCTCATAGTGATACAATGAGGGTGAATTAGTTGGTATTTGTAAAGTGCTAAAGCAGCATCTTGCACCTCATAAGTACCATGTAACTGTTTGTAAATGAATTTTCCAGCTTAGCTGTCTTGTCGATGGAATGGGGGTTGATTATATGTGCTCTTGGTTCCCTCTAGCAGTGACCTTTCAGGGCAGTGCATAAGCTTCGGGGTCAGGCAGGTCTGGGTTGACTCCTATCTCTGTCGGTAGTTGTGTGACTTTGCGCAGATAACTTCTCGGAACCTCAATGTTCTTATCTGTGAAATGGGAATAATTGTGTCTATTTCAAAAGACTGTTGTAGGTATTGCGTGTTTGTAATGTGCCTGGCACAGAAGGAGCGTAATAAAGAGAAACTATAGTTATTATTATGGACAAGAGGAGTCACATGTAAAGGAGAATAGCGTTTCCAAGGTCGTTGAAGTTTCCAGAAAGATTGAACATATCAAATAGCAACGAGACCAGCTCAACTTGTGGAGCTTGGTGGGAGGGTGGGCCTGGGTCTGCGCCAGGAGTAAATATCACCCCATTTGAGGAAACAGAAACGGTCCGACTTGCACATCAGCTCTAAGAACATTTTCTGCTCCAGGGCTGTGCTGAGGGCGTGGACCCACTGGGGCTGGATGCCAGGAGCTGGAGGCCTCTCCTGCTCTCCTTCCCAGGAGGGGAGACTTTAGTAGAGAGGGTGTGGGTGGGCCTTGGAAACCTCTTGTTGTGTGTGTGTGGGGTTTGGGGGAGTGTCAGAATGGCCCAGGGATATCTGGCCCTGGAACATGGACTCCCAGGCCTGGGGTGGCCTTCCTCATGGCAGAACTTGCCTTCATGGCTCCTCAAAGCTGCCATCCTTCACTCCAACTGAAGACTGACTGATTGCCTGCAATTATCTGAGGGGTGGGGGAAGGAGGGTTTTGGTAGTCTTGCAGCCGAATTAATCTTAATTCCCTTCAACTCCGTGTGTGGAAAAGTACTCAACGGAATATGCAAATGCTGCATGTATTCCTTCAGTTCTTTTTGAAAGGGGAAGGAGGGTTGCAAAATCAAACAGTGATAGGGTGTCGCAATCCCAAACGTGTGAGGAATTACTCTTAAGGTCCTCATACTTGACAGCTCCGGGCCCCCATGACACATGAGGAGTTTTGTGCTCCGAAACAGGCCAGGGCCAGGGTGTCTACCACTGTTACCACTAGCTGTGATTTGGGGATCCCAAACAGCCCCATCTTAGGAAAACCATCTTAGGAACTGGGGATCACAGAGGACTCTGCAAACCTCCTTCCAAACTCATATTTCCAGTGATGGCAACAGAGTGGGCCCTGAGTAACCCCTGCAGCAGAACTTGAAGGTTGAAGCTATCTTAAAAAAAAAACAAAAACAAAAAAAATGTGGACCAGGCTTGGTGGCTCATCCCAGCACTGTGGGAGGCTGAGGTGGGAGGATCACTTGAGGCCAGGAGTTCAAGACCAACCTGGCCAGCATAGTGAGACACTATCTCTTAAAAAAAAAAAAAAAAAACCAAACCAAAACAAAAACCATAGCTTATGAAGAGTCATGAAGGTGCAAATATTGGCTGTTCCTGGGTGGGAGGGAATGTGTTTTTATTTTCTTCTTTTTGCTTGTCTGTACTTTCTGATTGTCTTTTTTGGCAAGTACATATTGCTTTTGTAATAGGAAAAAAATATTTTCAGGCCAGGCGCAGTGGCTCAAGCCTGTAATCCCAGCACTTTGGGAGGCCAAGACAGGCAGATCACGAGGTCAGGAGGTCGAGACCATCCTGGCTAACACAGTGAAACCCCGTCTCTACTAAAAAATACAAAAAACTACCTGGGCGAGGTGGTGGGCGCCTGTAGTCCCAGCTACTCGGGAGGCTGAGGCAGGAGAATGGTGTAAACCCGGGAGGCGGAGCTTGCAGTGAGCTGAGATCCGGACACTGCACTCCAGTCTGGGCGACAGGGCGAGACTCCGTCTCAAAAAAAAAAAAAAAAAAAAAAATTTTTCAAAACATTCTCAGCAGAGTAGTACGTTTGTTTTTAAAATAGATAACAACATAATAAATGGGAAGTTTCCAATACCTCTTCACTTGTTTTAAAAAAACTTTTCCCAAAAGAAATACATGCTCTTGGTAGAAACCTTTGAAAATTCAGATCCTTAAAAAATAGAGAAAATAAAAATTGACTGTAGTCCCATCACAGGAATAACCACTGTCAACATTTTTAATTCTACCTTTCCAATACACACACTAGTTGTATTTTTAATTTATTTTTTGGACAGGATATTGCTCTGTCACCCAGGCTGGAATAGTGCAGTGGCACCATCCTAGCTCACTGCACCCTTCAACTCCTGGGCTCAAGTGACCTTCCCACTTCAGCCTCCTGAGCAGCTGAGACTAGAAGCACATGCCACCACTCTGGGCTAATATTTTATTTTTTATAGAGATGGGGGGGTCTCACTATGTTGGCCAGGCTGGTCTCAAACTCCTGGCCACAAGCGGTCCTCTTTGCATGTTAGTTTTATACTTCAATTTACATACTGTAGTTTTTGCAAAACAGGACCATGCTGTAATATTTGTAATTACAAGTATTGTAATTTTGCTGCTTCTACATGGTAGTTCATGGACATCAATTTTTTTTTACATGATCACTTTAATAGTCATGAGGCTGGGCGTGGTGGCTCACGCCTGTAATCCCAGCACTTTGGGAGGCCAAGGTGGGTGGATCATAAGGTCAGAAGTTTGAGACCAGCCTGGCCAACAGTGAAGCCCTATCTCTACTAAAAACACAAAAAATTAGCCCGGCATGGTGGCAGGCACCTGTAATCCTAGCTACTTGGGAGGTTGAGGCAGGAGAATCGCTTGAACCTGGGAGGTGAAGGTGGCAGTGAGCTGAGATCCTGTCATATGCACTCCAGCCCAGGTGACAGTGCGAGACTGTGTCTCAAAAACAAACAAACACAAACAAACAAAAATAAGTTACATAGATTTCTAGTTCTAAATGACCCACAATTTAACCAACCCTATATCGTTGAACCTTTGAGTTGTTTCTAAATTCTGTGCTATTATAGAAATGCTGCCAGGACCTCTGTACACATCTAAGATGACTTTTTCAGAAGTGGGCCAAAGGGTGTGCACATTTTGAAGGCTTTCGAAATGCAGTCGTGCAGTCAGCATACTGTCAAACAGGACAATGTGCAGTCCCTGTTATCACACAGGAGGGCAGTCTTGGTTCAACCAGTTTCTAGCTGTGTAATCTTGAGAAAATTACTTACTCTCTCTACACTTCAATTTCCTCAAGTGTAAAACTGGAATGATAGTAGCTATTGGATAAGAT